TGCCAAAATTGTATTTGAAATCACAAGTTAAAAGACACTCATTCCAATAATACCTTTAGAAAACTATCTATTAAACCATAGAAATAGAATTATGAACTTTATTGGTCTTCTAAGCACAAAGCAAACACAAATTTTTTGATACCTAAAATAAATAAGTTTATATCTTTTATAGTTATGAAATTTAACTATGTATTTAAACATAGAATTCAAATAAGATTTTCTTTTTAAGTAATTACATTAATTTATGCATAGCATCGGCAGCTAAAATAGGACAACTCGATAATAATTTTAGAATTTTCAAATGAAAAAGTCTCAATCAAGTTGTTAGAATAAAAGACTAAGATTTATGAAATAAAAGAAAAACATAATAAATGTTTATTTAGTCCAAATCAAGACTACTAGGCCTCCATATATATATATATCTATATGCAAAAAAAAAAAAAACAACTAATTTTTTTTTAAAGAAAGTTTGCTTTCCATTTAATCATAATTTAAATTTGCATCAGTGTCTACAATATCTTGTATAAAAACAGGATAATCCTCTACCCATTACATCCTCTCATTTAACGAAAGCCCTTGCATTGCCAATCTGTGAGCAGCTTCGTTCCCTGACCTTCTGGTGCGGTGTGGTGTGGTGTGCATCCCTTCAAATTAGCCAGTTTTTGTCTAGCCTCTTCGACTATTAAGCCTATGGGGGACTTGTCTTGGTTCCACTCGGAGTTTTTTTTATAACTGTTAAAGCATCTACCTCCAGTACAACTCTGCCCTCCTCGTCCCTAATGATCACTACAAAACCTCCCTTCTTTCTATCCTTATCAACAGCTCCATCAAAGTTAACCTTCAAAGTGCCTCAGACAGGATGTTTCCAACGACCAATGCCTTCTTCATTGTGTCTGAGTTTTTGCTGCTGTGCCCCGTTAAATTCCAGCATGTATTTTTTTCACAAAACAGCTACAGCTTCTGGTTCTCTCCTCTGCTCCCCGTGACATTCATTGTTTCTGTCGTTCCATATTGTCCACGATCCTATCACAAACAGTTGCATTTGTTCTGTTGTGAATTTTCCCACTACCTTGGAAAGTCAGTGCAACGTTTCCAGCGATTGAACACCCTCCTCATCCCATTGGAAATTTAGCTTTTCTCATACTCCTTTCGCCCAACAGCATTCTTTAACCGCGTATAAAACTATTTCATCATTGTGTCCACATCTCTGGCACATTATCGACACTAGTATTTGTCTTTTTGCCATATTAATTCATCATCACTGGTAGGAAACCTTTGCCTACTTTCCACGTTAGTATCTTGATCTTAGTACATAGTGGTACTGCCCATAACCCTTTCCAGACTTCTTGCCCTCTTCTCCTGTCTTAGTTGCTTCCCGCTTCTAAGCCATTCGACATAGCATTCTATAGCTATTCCTCACCGTGTATATCCCCTTGTTGCCGAAGTGCCAGGCCATGCTATCTGGCTTATCTAGCTTGCTTAAAGGTAGTTCACATATTGCTTCTGCTTCATCTTGTGTAAAAATATCATGAATAACAGACCACTTCCAAGCTCGTGTTTGTTCGTCGATCGATCAACTTTGACACAAGTTTTTTCTCATCATTGTTGTTCCTTGGTGATTGAGGCCTGAATGATGCAGTAAATGGGAGCCATTTATCAATCCAGATTCGAATAGACCTGCCATTGCCTACACGCCATCTTAAACCATGAAGCAGAACTACATTCGTACCCCAAAAAATTTTCCACGCTAATAAAGGATATGCTCCAAGATCGGCCTCAAGAAACCAGAGGTGGAAAATATTTGGCTTTTAATATTTTAGGTGTTAACATGTCTGGGTTAGTTGAAATCCTCCACCCTTGCTTAGCTAGCATGGCCTTGTTGAAATCTCCCATTTCTCGGAAGCTCATGCCCCCATCTTTTTTGCACTGCACATTTCCTTCCAGTTTTGTCAATGTGTGCCCCTTTTCTTCTTATTGCTCCTCCACCAGTAATTACTTAGCAGTCTATTCATCTCTTCGCATAATGTCTTTGGAAGGAGAAACTAACTCGTTGAATAAGTGGGAATAGATTGGAGCATGGATTTGATGAATACCTCCTTCCCACCACCTAATGATAACATTCTTTGGCATCTTCCATTCATTCTAGCACTTATTTAGTCCTTAAAATACCTAAAAACCCTTTTCTTGTCTTTCCCCACCATTGTAGGTAACCTTAAGTACTTTTCCAGATGTTTTTCTCTTAGACTAAGACCAACTAATTGTTAAATATAATAATAATTAAAAAAATCCTAATACAAAGAAAATAATATGGACATTCCTTTAGAAATTATGAATAAAAATAGCTATAAAAATTCTTAATGTTTGTAAAATATATTCAAAGTAAAAAAACTGAGTAAATCTTTTGGTCGAAAAGGTATTTAAAAGAATGTTTGGGTCCCTAGTATAAATATTTATAAAATTCCGATTTTCAATGCTAATACCAGATAAATAAAATTAAAAAAAAAAAAAAGAAAAGAAAATGAGGATGTCATCCCATAGCTTGCAATTTTTCGTTTTCAGGGTCAAAGGTCCTTTTTTTTTTTTCCTTTTGTTCTTGGAAAATATTTGACTAAATATCCCTATATTTTTCAGATAATTTGGCACGTAAAGATATTTTACTTCTTTATTGCTTCAACATATATCTCCCTTGGTTTCTGGATTTTTGCTATTTTTAAACATTTATATAAAAAGTAGTTATTTTTTATTAAAATAAAATCAACAAATGAATCGAGATTCTTTTTTCTTCTATCAATTGATGATTTCCATATGGAAGATTGTTTTCTATTTATATATACTAGTTGAATAATTAAAATTCAAGACCTCCAATTTAGTTAAGAAGATAAGGTGAATTCACAAAAGTTCGAAAATTAGCCATGGCATTCACAATGTCACATGTAAATTTTCATACATAATGTGAAATTTTATTTATGGCATTCTGATGACCTAAGTAAACTTTTAAACAAATTATCTTTTAAGCTTAGCATTTGATTCTCTTCAGGACATTCAAATTCATTTGATTATTTAATTCTAAAATTTATTTATCAAATTTTTAACATAATTATTTTAACACAAATGTAAATTACATTATTGTTAATTTTTATATTTTGTAAAAAATACTTAAAACAGTAAAAAAATAATGTTTCGGTAACATATACAACGAAATTCACAAAAGTAAAGAACAATATAAGAGTTTGAAAAAATATATCACTTTGTGTTTTATGGCAACAAAGCACAATTATAAAAAAATAAAAATGAGAACACCTTATCTTTACAAAGGAGGAGATGGAAATCTCATGGCCACCGCTCACCGCCAGCAGCTGGGTTTTAGGTTTTAGAAATTGGAAGACACGTGTGACTCTTTCTTTTCAACGCCAGTGACAATGAGACTCCTTTATATTTATTATTTTTATTATCATGCTTTATCAACCAAAAAAACATCTTAAATTGTCAAAACCACGCTTCATTATCATGATTGAAATCTTATTATTCTCTCACACACGGACATGCTTTATTCTTATAGTCTTTAATTTAATAAATAAAATATTAATTTTTACAATCTTAAATTAAATTAAAGAATATCCATTTTGTTGTTGCTTAGCCAGATTAATTTATACTATTTAATGTTTGTTAAAATACCGTTTTAGGAAAATAGTTTGCCTTTAATGTACTTTTTTAATCAACTTAAAAAAAAAGACAAATTTCTTTCCTTAAGTATCACCTTAATCAGTACCTATTGACACTAGTTAATATTTCCCAATGTATACTGCTTTTTTAATCTTTTTTTTTATTACATTTTTCTTAGATAAATGTTAGCCGCTGTCTAATAACATTGGTTAAAATGATATTTTAAAAAATAAAATTAATTACATTATTTCCTCTTGAATTTGAGAAAAACAATACATTACATTAACAAATCTGTTCTAAAATAATATTTTAATTACAATTAATCGGAGCCTATGGTGTTCATTAACCTAACCCTGTATGTAAATTCTAACATTAACAATATTTATTATACTCAACTGAATAAATTAACCTTTAATGTGAGAGTTTCTCTATAAGAGTGTGTCTTGATTTACCCAAGATCAATTGAGACAAATATCCATGCATCCATTGAAGTGAAAGCATGCTCAAAGAAAATTCCAAAAGCATATGCCCATTCTTTCAAAAGATGGATCAAAATCTAATTTTCGGAAGAAAGGAACCCAATTCTCCCCTTCTCAACGGATATTATTAGCTATACATGGCTTTAGCCAACTTCTAAGGTATGGTATACCCTTTGGACTGTCTTTAAGAGCAAAAGCTAAAGAGCAGAGCCACCATGCCCTCGAGTTTTGGGGACCATTTGTCTTTTGAATTCATGACCATGCACGGGATTGCTCAACTTACCCCTTAAGCGTCATCTCCGTGCCATACATATATATATATATATATATATATGTATGTATATATACCAAAAAATTTTATGCCTTATACACTTTTTTCTATATATTGATTTCAACATGTCTAAAGGATTAGAGACAGATCAAAAAATAATAATAATAATAATAATTTCATCCCCTCGATCTATTAAAATCAATATTTAGAAAAATATATATAATTAAAAAATTTTACATTAGTATAAGTTAATACATTCCCATATATATGTATGTATGTATTAGTTTTACATATTTTTTAACATTTGATTTTAATAGATTAAAAGGGCAAAAGAGAAGTAAAAAAAATAATAATAAAGAAAATTAATCTCATATATTTGATCTATTGAAATCAAAGCCTTAAAAAGCGCGTAAAACTAAAAAAAAATATTTATATATATATAATATATATAAGCCCAATATATTATTTTACTAATAAATAATATGATGTAAATAGACAAGTTGGGCTAGGCTCGAGTGTGGCTTTAAAAATTATCGATCCAAAGGAGCTTGGCCAATGGCATCTCTCTCTAAATTAATTATAAAGAAAAATTAAAAAAAAAAAAGTGCTCAAATTATGGCATTATTATTATTATTATCAGATAATTCCAGTATAACAACATTAATACAAATAAAGGAAAAAGGTTGAATGTTTAAAGGTTTTAAGTTGGACTGTCAAACTTACTTTGATGTAATTCACTACATCTTTTTCCTTTTATCCTATTAACTCAAATGAAGAAAGCATGAATGTTAAGTGGAAACTTTACATATATTACATTTCTAAAACTTAACCTGACTCCGCACTCCTCTCCCTTCCCCCTTCTCAACCCCCAACCAAGAACCACCAGACAAAAAGAGACTCCAAAGTTAAATAAGGTAAATGATAATTCTCTTAAAGCCTAAAAGTAGAGTAGCCACTTACACTAGAAGATCCTCCATATCCACCGTAGGGTTGTGCTGAAAGTGAAGATGTGCTGCCCAACTGAGCAAACGAGGACCTATAACTCACGTCTCTATAGCTGCTGCTTGTAACTGGATCTTTGTGATTGTTCATAAATTCCTGTATTAAGCAAACAATTAATCAATCTTAACATGTAAATCTAATACTCACATTGAAGAGATTATTTATAGAGAACAAAATCCATAGAGATAAACCTCATTAAAGATAATAATACAAAGCAGTCATAGTTCCATTATTTATATAACCAAAGAGAAAATTAATAGTAATAGGAGTGAAACTTGAAACACCAGCCAGGAATAATTACCTATTATACTCTCTACCCTGTGAAGCACTAAATAAAGTATCAACTTCTCAACCATAAATTATATAAAATTGTCACAAGGTAGAAAAGAGCCCCATGATAGCAGGGAAACGAATCAAAATTTTGTTTTGTCTAAATTAGCAAATATGTCTTCTAGGAAAGCCTCATACCTCAATCAGTTGTTGAGCCAACTGAACCTGTGATGAGGTGCCTTTAATTTCCACGGTTATTTCATCAGATAGGCCCCTACTCTCTTGCATAGTTATAATGGCTCCACTAGAGCGACGAATGTGTGCAATATTAGCTCCTCTGATCCCAATGATATCCTCAGCATAAGAAAATGGTATTTGCATTGTTTGAGCAATCTGATTCCAGAAATGCAACAAGAGAAATGATGATATATAAACCAATATATATATGTATATGTATATATATATAATAGTATGAAGAAAGTGTTGCAGGTCAAGTCTAGGTAACCATGACAAAGTTTCACTTCAAAAGCCTATTTATACCATACAAAATATCATTGCAGAATCTCCAAACTGAATTAAATGTATGTAATGAAGAACATGTAATAACAGAGGAAAAATTACTACATTCAAGCCCTTCAACTCAAGCAGCATTTGCTATAGACCAAGGCATGAATGAACCTAAAAATGGCTCAAAGTGATTTTGTTCTCATCTTTTCAAATTAACATAGTAGTTAATGTCATGGAGATTAGAATTTATTATTAATTATAGATTTATATGCCATTTTAAGTTTGTGGTAGGGTTTTATGGCCGACGCCTATAAATACTTAAATGGATTATCTTTCAACCAGCTTTGGGTTATGAGTTATTGAGAATTTGGAATATTGAATTTGAGATTTCCCTCTCCTTGGTGCTCTTTGTTTCTCTCCCCTCTTATTTACCCTATTTCTGTTCTGCCCAATTCTTTTTGCCCTCTAATTTTGCATCTTATCTCCTTATGCCCCCTTTATCTTCTTTGTTTGACATCATAATCCCTTGCCTCTTTGCAAAAATGAATTAAAAAAATTCAGGCACGGACAAAAACGAACCTGTGTGACAATAGGAACGATAGATCGAACAAGTCCTGAATTAGAATGTATTGTCGAACGTGCAGGATCCTGCCCATATAAAGATGAAATTCCAGAAGATGGGATTCGTGACTCCAACTGTGTTTCATGTTCAAGGAACAAAGAATCCCTCCTTGCTGTAACAGGAAGATCAATTCCAATTTCACTTTGAGAAGCAGTAAGCAGAGATGACTTTTCAGCCCATGTCTCTGCTTGAAGATCTTGAGTGACAGTTGCATTGTGCTGCAAACAATGACAACACCACTCAGCATGAAACAGTTGCAGTGAATATAACAACAGTTTAATAGAAATCAAACTTACAGTCTTTTCAAAAAGAGGAAGAACACTGTGATCAACCAAAAATTTCCTCAGGTGCCCCACCACAGCTTCTAGAGCTTTAAGAACCTTTAGGGCTTCCCCCTGCAACTCCACAATCCTCTCATCTGCTGCCACATAAGATGGAACTTCATCTGCTATAACAAAAAAACATGTGCATCATAAATTTTATAGAATCTGAAAACCTATGATTTATAGGGCACTTTTTGAACTGAAAATAAGATACAAAAGCTTGGACTTATTGTAAATTTATATTACAAATGGTCTAAAATAATCAAAGAAAGCATTTAAATCTATTTATTTTGATTACTACAAAGTAGCATAACAAGGATGAAGAGTAAAATTTTACATTTAAGGGATTGCTTTCCAACTTAAAATATAATAGGCTCAAGGTCATATTACTAATATGTAACTCAAAAAACAAAATTTATTGTTAATAGCCCAAAATTGCTACACTAGAAGCTAATAGTCTAGACCAAGACAAAGGACTATTGTGTTCAGCCCACCAACAAAAGCCCCATAAGTTATTGGACATTGCACCCTAAGACAGCCACATGTTGATTACTATAATGTGACAAATTCCAGCATAAAATCTACCATTTAGAATATAGCCAACACCTTACAGGTGGTATCAATATCTTATCTAAGCCTCAGAAAGATGATTTTTCAGCTATGCAGATCCCAAAAACCTTTTGCATATCAAGGTAGACCCTCAATTTGAGAGGGATGGCAGTAGGCACCAAAGAAGGTTTTATTTTCATTCTTCACATGGTGAAAGTTTTCAAGCAAGAAAGATCACTTCAATATTAAGGTACAAGAACTCAAAATGACTTGCTGGAAAAGAAATGGACTTCCAAATTAATAACTATCTAGCATTCTTTTGTAATTGAAAAGGATAACCATAATTCAGCCAAGTCAAGACAGGTATAAGAAGACATGCAATTGGAAAAAGAGCCCCCTTAAGTTCTCTAAATCTTTATTAAAATTCACAAAGGGGCACATTTCGATGATTTGAACAATAACCCCTTCCAACAAAGCCCTCCAGCCAAAACAAACACATACCAAAGCACATGAATTCCCCCAAAATAGATAAATGAGGTATGCACATACATGCCATAGGTGTGCACACAAGAAATAATGAATAAAGAAGCATGGAATTTCAATCTTTTATCCATGTAATGCACTGGGCCATGCAGAATTTAGCCAGGACTTTATTGATTTAAGGTTCATTTCACGCCTAAGATAGTAATGGATAGAATAACTTCTTATTTAATGCCATATTTATCAGTGACTTGAGCTTTTTGATAAAAGGATAGGACGAGTTGTTGGATTTATGATCTTATGTGAGTAGGATTAAACAGCCCTATGGAACGGTAAAAGGATTGTGTAATACCAGAACAAAAGTGTTACACAAAATAAGCATTGATGTTACAAAATCATGACAATTCATTAATCAACTAATTAAAGGTAAAGGATTAATTATCAATTCAAAGTCCTATGCACCAAATGAAACCTAAATGCATAGATGAGAAAGAAGGGAAACCAAAGAAGTATTATGAATAGAAATAATATATTCAAATGTCCAAAACATACCTCCTGACAACACCCTCACAGATGCACCTGTGCTGTCTTGTAATGACTTAATTAAGGAGCCTTGCTTTCCAATTAAATTGAATGCTTGTGTAGATGCTACCAACAATCGGATTGAACAAAATGCAACTCCAGCTGCTTTAGCATCCCCATCATTTTCAGGCAATCCAGAGACACGTTTGAAAACTCTTATAGCAGCATCCATTGCAGGTGAAAGAGGTGCCTCTGGTTCTTCCTTTCCAGATATTAGAACCTATAAGAAAAGCCAATTAATTCAAGGAACTGCCAAAAGGGTAACCAGAAAACAGGATATTAAACTCCAATATCTTGTTGGAGACAAAAATTCGGATAGTCAAATTCAAAAATTGAAGAATTAATCTGTATGCAAAACTCCAATTGTTTTGTTACACAAAACAGAAATTTAGGTTTGAATTTATATCAAATAAAGAGGGCAAAACCCAGAACCAAGATTCAAGATTTAATAGTGGTGAAATTTATTTATCCAAAAGAAAATTTTTATCAGTTTACGTTCCAAAGGAAAAAGAGAAAGGGAAAGAGAAAGAGAGTTACAATGCGATCAGAAGTACCAACAGCACCATCAAGGACGCGGATGCGGGCGCGGGTTTCCTCGCAGATCCTCTTGATGAGTTCGCCTTTCCGGCCAATTATGCTGCCCACTTTCAAAACTGGTACAATCAGCCGAAATACGCAGTGTCCTGGCCATCCGGGCCATTTCTCTACTGCAGGATAAATGATGGCTGCTGTGGCCGTGCTGGTTGCTGCTTGGTTCTTTGCCGAACCGTTCTCTGTGGCGTCTTCGATTACCATGGATTGGGAAGGGGGGGGGGGGGATATACTTGCAAGAACTAGTGGGAGCTTGGAAAGATTCGCTTTCGACTTGCCAGAAAATCAACTCGCAGATAAAATTAAACAAACTCTCTCTCTCTCTCTCTCCAATGATATACGTACAGACCAACTCTGGGCTGAGCCTTGATCTAGGCTTTTGGGTCAAGTCCAGCTTCTAGGATAGATTATATATATATATATATATAAATCATGTTTAAGGTTCGGTCTAAGTCGTTTGAGATCTATGGTGTTTGGCCAATTCTTGATCCATCACAGGCATATTTTAATTTAGGTTTTTAAATTTCAAAATTTTATTTTTTTAAATTATACAAAATGTTCATTTGAGTTTTTAAACAATAATATAAATAAAAACTTTTAAAAGAAGTGTTAATGAATAGTACCGATTATTTAATGAGATTTTTATATTATTCTCATTTTATTACTTTATAATTTATAAAATTATTGAGAGAAGTAAATTAATTTCACGATTAATTTTTTTCATTTGGTGCAATTTTTTATTTCATGTATTTTTAATTTTAATTAATAAAAAGAGATTTTTTTTCATTTTAAAATATATAATTTGATAAAATAAAGTTGAATCTTTTATTGTGTGATATTGAGATATTTAAAAGGTATTGTGAATTATTCATTATGTTATCAAGGAAGTGATTTGCATTTGGTCGACTGTACTAATGCTAATTAGGGAAGAGATTTAAATGAAAGAAAATCTACCTTTGGCTATATTTTTTAACTAAATAGTGGACAATTTCATGGAATAGTAAGAAACAAACTTGTATAACATTATCTATAATGGAAGCTAAATTTGTAGATAGTGTAAGAGGTTATTTGGCTTAAGAGATTCTTGAATCATTTAAGATTTGAGAAGGATAAGTCCAACTCAATGTTGATGAATTGCGATAGTCAAGCTGCAATCACATTCACAAAGAATCCTAAATATCATTGTAAAATCAAATATGTAGATACCAAGTATAACTATATGAGAGACATGGCTGCAAAAAAGAAAGTCAAGATGCAATACATTTCTACGCATAAAATTATTGTAGATCCATTTATGAAGCCCATATCCAAAGATGTGTTTAATAGCCATACGAGATTTCTAGGATTACGTAGATGTTGAAGTACATATATTGATTGAATAGTTTTATATAAACAATGTATGATATTTTTCCATTTGAGTTAACTTATATTGAATACAATTAGTGCCATTAAGGTTTAGTATTTTATTTTGTGATGCATGCACACATGTATATGTAAACGTACCTATATGATATGTTTTGAAAGTTATGTTAGACAGATGATTAGTCTTCTTATATAGGAAATCACCTCAATAGTTTGGCATAATGGAGATGAAATTAGTTTTAAGCTATGGATCAAGAACCCATGCTTAAAGTGAAATTACCTGGATAAATGGTCAAGATGAGGTCACTTGATATTGAAATTTGTGATGAAAAGTGAATAATTCCACAATTCATTTTGTTTGTCTTAAATTCTAAGTGAAAGTCCTATTGATTATGTAAAATCAAGTAGAGTTGTGGACTTAAGTTAAATACTGAGAGCATCTAAACCAATATTGATATATAAATGATGACAGACATATGCTTCCCGAAAAAATAAAAGTAATACCGTAGTATGTGTTTCATATTACATATGCATTATTTGACCAGCAAGGGTAAAAAAAGAATAGATCTCTATTTTTTATTGTGTGAGCCCTTGAGATAAGAGGATATGATATTTAGTACCCTTAAGAACTTTCGACTATTTTTTAAAGTTTTAGCTCAATGTTAGCTATCTTGGATTGTTGTCAATAATCATAGATGATTCGATCTAATAAAACATATCTAGGTAACAGTTGAATTGAAATGAAAAGATTCTAGAATGAGGGAAGATCATTTTGGTGTCACATTTGATTGTATTCACAGGCCAACCAATTATGTTTGAAACGTTGAACACTATTATGAATAGAGAAGTATATCATGCATTATAATAAAAGAGAGATCATGAAAAACTTGAAATATGACTAAATGGGTTTAAGGTGCTATATACTTACTTTACTTGTACTTAAGAGTTACTATAAATACCTAATAGTTGTATAAGTGACTAAATGTGATTATAAGCTACTATATACACCTAACAGTTGTATAGCAACTGAGCTCTCAAAGTATGATGGTCGTATGACTTATTTTTTTGTATAAACTCGAGGTAAATAAAAGAGAAAAAGTTCTCAAGATCATAAGAGTTTAACACTCACTGTGCGGTGGGAGATGTTAGTATAATTGCACAAAAATGAGTGCTAATCTGATGTTACAAAAAAACTACCTTTAAAAATTATTGTTTAATGAAAACAACATAAAAATTGCATTGGTTGTTTACAAATTTTCATTTAAGAAAAGTAAATGCCACCCATCTTTTTTTTGTTATATAATGGTAGCATTCAACCATTAAGAATTGACGAAAAAAAAGGTTTCTCACAAAGAAATGGGAATAAAAGGAAAGAAAGCAATCAAGCAGGCATTGTACAACTCTTAAGAAAAGCTCTTGTTTCGATGTGTTGAAGGATTTACGTTGTAGAAATGAACAATTTTCGTATTGTGATCTTGTTCAATAACTAGTAATTCAATCAAGTTTTCACTTTCGCTTTCGCTAAATAAGTATATATGATTATGTTCGTGCATGTGTGTGTATATACATATCTTGCATGTACTTTATCTTACATGAGTCTAAGGTCATATTTGGTATAGGCTGATCACTAAAAAATTTATGATGATTTATATATGGTGATTAGATTATTATGTTTGATAACCACTTGGTGATCTTATATTGTGATAATCTTAGGTTATCGATAGTGATCAAATTATTACCTTGAAAGGTTATCTAATTCCCTTCTAAAGGGTAGAAACTTTTATCACCAAGATAAAGTGATATATAAAATTAACAATTGTCAATATTACTTCTTTAATAAGTAAATTAAAAACTTACTTCTTATCAAAATTAATAATGATTATTTGTATTATAAATTTTATATTTTCAAACTACTGTTCATTGTAATATAATCATTTGTGTGCTTTCTTTTATCTTTTTTTAATGTTTTATATGCTTATAATATAATTTTTTGATTTTAATAGATTAATTTTTATTTTTTAATTCAATTATTTTTTACATAATTTATATTATAAAAACTAATTTACCTATTAATAAATATCTTTTTTAATTTAATATTTTTATTATATTTTATTATGAAGTAAATAAATTATTATTAATCTTTTATAAATTTATTATCTTTAAACAATATTGAAATTATTAACTTGTGTTACTATTATAATATACATAGTTATTTTGGTACTTTTAAATAAAATAATATTTAATTTTTAGCAACACTAAATATAGTGATATTTTATTTCTATGAATTAATGATTGCGAATCAAACAAAGCAACTTTAAATCACAAATGATAAGATTACCTTAATAATAAGATTACATCAATAATTAAATTATCATGATGATTTTGAAAATCATACCAAGTGCTACTTAAGAGCCAATGACTCTCAAAATTTTGAAATTATATATATATATATAAGTATATATTATTTTTTAATAATTTTAAATTTTTTTATAAAAAAATTAGTTAGATTCTTTCAAATCTAAATTTGTTATGTTCCTATATATTATTCTTTAGTCTGTATATATCTATATTGAATATAAAGTAACAAAAGTTATTTGTATTTAAATGTTACAATTCTTTGATTAACTTGAGTTTACTAGTTATAAATAATTTTTAATTTCAAATGAATTAAATTTTTATCATTATATTTTCCTAAACATATAATTTTGAGTTTAACATTATATATATATATATATATATATATATATATATAGATGGGTGGTCATGGTTCTAACCAAAACACAAGGGGAGTATGCATAAGCTGTAGCTTGATAATTAATGGCTTATGAAATATGAAAAAACAAAGGAACAAATTTATGGGAAAAAAAAGAAAAAAGATAGTGAATTTATAATGCACTAAAAGCATAAACTGAGAGTTTGATTGCACAGCTGCTGTTGCTAGAGTGGTTAGCAGCAGACAAGGCCATTAAGCTTACATTTAGACCATGAAGATTTTCCCAAAAGAAACGAAAAACTAAACTCTGACTGACTGACTGACTGACTGACTATATGTGACTTTGATGCAGAAAACTAAGAAAGGCCACGCATGGGGGTTTGGTTTGGCTACATGCTCATGGGACTTTGTGGATCATTAAGAGCTGCAATGGCTGTTTCAATCTGCATTTTTATCAACTCATCTTTCTCCTTTTCATCAGCCTGCATTTATATCAACCAATTCAAACTGATTTAGGCATTTAGCACTATTCTATGTGGATGGACATACGGAAGCTTAAATTAACATTCTAAAACAAAGATTCATCTCAAAAGTAAATATAATTAAAAAAAAAAACCAAATGGCGGCAAATTCAACTTGCTGTCAGCTTGCTGCAAATTCAACATTTTTTTTTTAGAAATAAGACAAATCGATTTACCCAAAAAAATCTGGGAAATGATTAGTGATTATGCATTTAAAAACAAAAAAAAAAAAAAAAAAAAACTTAGAAGAAATTTTTTAGATAAAATTTGTGAATTTCTTTTAAAAAATGATTAAATAAAAACTAAAATAAAAAATAAAAAACGGTATATTGAAAAAACTTATTACATAGATGAAATGTGTAAATTAAAAAAACAAAAAAATTTTGATATATTTTTTAAATTAACATTTTTAATAAAATTATTAAAAAAAATTTTGCCATAAATTTAAAGTATAAATAATATTTTTAATAATCTTTTACATATTATTATTCTTCATATTAAATTCTATCATTCTATGAATTTAAATTTTTTATTAAATTTTAATTAAATTATTTTTTAAAACAAATTTATTTAAATTTTTAGAAGTCCAGATCTAACCTAACTAGCGCTTTAGAGCGTCAACTGTCATCAGCTCTATCTATCCGATGATGTAGCAATAACATAAAAAAAATCTTTTATTTTCTTTTCTCAAATTATAAATAAATTAAAAAATAAACTTAGATTGAAATTTTAAAAAAAATTAATATTGAATTATATTAAAATATTTAATGTGACATTTAAATTTAAAATTTTTAATATAATTATCAAATTATGAATTTATTAATTAATATGATATTTATACTTAACATAATTCATTCTTAATGATGATATATGACTAATAAAAAAATTCAAATGTCATATTATTTAACATATTTATAATTTAAATATTATATTAAAATTTTTTTAAATCCAAATTTTACATTAAATATTTGACTATAATTTATAAATTATTTATGATATTATAAAAAAAATACAATAATTATTCCATTGCGCTCAACTAATATCATTACTTCAATTCTTATTTATTTTTCAGTAAACCATCATCCATTAATTTCTTTATCATTCGACAAACCTACATGTAAATCTAAAAAAAAAAAAACAAAAGTCACGCATTGTTTAAACGTTGAAAATGGAAACTCAAAAAAGGAAAAAAAAAAAAATACAAAACGAGAAAAGAGTTGGATATGTGAAAGATGCAATTATGCATGCTGCAAAAACCATGTTGACATTAAAGAAAGGTGTGAGAACTGAGAATGACACATTAAACACATGCGAAATTCTTTGCTCTTTTAGATTAGATACGATTTCTTTTGGTTTTCACACATGACACGAGGTTTCTATGTGGCTACTAGGCTTTTCGAGTTTTGTTTGATAATTTCATGGGATTTTACAGGAAACAAAATTTCTAACAATATTAGAAACATGGTTTTGTCATTTGGCCCAAAATGTGGGAGATTTTATTGTATGCCTTTGCTCCCACAAAAAGCCTAACCATTTCAATGGTTTTAAACACCGATTAATCCGAAGTTAAATAAGATCAAATCTTATAAAAAATAAATTTTTATGAATTTATTTTTTTTATTTATAACAGTCGAAATTAAAATCTTACTTAAAAAGTTTAAACTTGTTATCATTCAAACCAACATTGATAATTTCTTTTACTTGTTATTATTCATTGGTCCTCCTCTCACATTATATGTCATGTGAACAAATTTTATAAGTTTCTTTGATGGATGCCGACCTAGCTTCCCACCAATACAGATTTTTTCTTTTCCTTAAGAACACATTAGATTAGACATTTTGTATATTTGTTTCATATTTATTTTATATTAAATATATATAAAATATAAAAATTATGTATTATAATTCATATTAATACATTTAATATAAAATATATATTTTTAATTTTGTTAAACTTATAATTTTTATAAAAATTTTAAATTATATTATTTTTATATTTTTCTATTATGTGTCATATTTAAAATTATTAAGTATAAAAAATACTGTTACAGTCAACCATTAGTATTTGAATTTAAGATCTCTCTTTACAACTTGAGGCCTCTGCCCAAGTGCCCGTGTGCCATAATTTTCATTAAAAAAAAAATAGTTTTCCTTGCATAACAAATTTGAAAACATGATTTGCAATTTTTTTTAAATTATTATTAATGTAATTTGTGATGGATTGATCTATTTTATGTCATAAAAAAGTATTTAATTAGTAAATTAGCAGTGCCCAAATGATCCTTTCAAAATTCAAAGAAATGTTATAATATAATTTTTTTATTTTGGTATTTCATTTTAAAAATAATTTGATAGTGATATCTTATCTCATCTTTATACTTCACCTACATTATATAGATGAATAAATGTGTTTAAAATTAATAAGATCATTGTTGTGTGAGATACCATTTTACAATACCTACTACAAATTTAATTTTCTGATGAGAAATTTTAGAAAATTTTAAGATTTTGAAATAAACATGGGCACTCTTGATTGATCCACTAGAGACATCCAAAATTTACTTCTTGTCTCATATCAACGAATTGATATCACATATCTGAATTTTTTGAGTATTTGAAGTGACAAAAAAAGAAAAAAAGCAAAATAGCATAAACATGATAATTTATTTGTTTTATTGATGATGTTGATAAAAACACCAAAAAAAAAAAAACAAACTTTTGAACTCTAACAGAACTTATAAATGGAAGAAAAATAATACTCTTTTGTTCTCATAAAAATTGTCACAGATTGACTTTACTTTAATCAAAATTTTAAAAATTTGTCATTTATTATTTTAAATATTTTCATTAATTAAATTTTAAAAATATATATCCAAAAAAGTAGATCATTCATTTTTTTGGAAAACATTTTTCCAATTTTTATCATTATAAATATAAAATAAAACGAGACAAAATTTAATCAATAAAAAAATCAACATGTGATAAGTTTTTTTAGACAAAGAGAATAAATTAAAAAAGATTATAGGAAATATTTATTCTTTATTTTTTTTCTGTTGGGTTCTAAGGATATCTGAGGCTTTGTCATGTACATTTTTTTATTTGAGTTGGTTTAAATAAATTTATTTATGTCAAATCTAATTAATTTATATATACTTTTTAATGGATTCGAACTCAAACAATTAAAAGAAAAACAAATTCTTTTGCCATCTGATCCAACATCCGTTAATATATAACAGAATAATTAATTTTGGATATTTTGAATTTGTTTAAAGAATTCTTGAAAGAATTAAAGGGTAATAAGTTGAAAAGGGGAAGGCAAATAAAAAAAGTTAGAAGCATTATGCTATTATTCAAAATAAAAATAAAAAAAATATAGACCACGTTTAAAGTGGAAGTATGGGGTCCTTTTGTTTTCTTACTTTGGATGCGGGAGTGGTTTTTTTGGGACACTGGATTTCACTTTTGCCCTAAGTTGCATTGATTGTAATAAATGGGTCATCCACTTTATTAAAGTTAAGACTATAGGTTTCCAAATCTTTTGGGCCCTTTTTTTTTTTTTTTAATTAAAACAGTTAAAAATTGAATCTTAATTATTAAAAATTTCTTATACCCTTCAAACTATGTATGCCACCTATTTTTTTAAAAAAAATTACTAGCATTAAATAATCCAATAAATAATGCTCTTAATTTTATTACTAGCAATTTAGAAATTTAAATTTTTTTTAGAAATTTAGATATATATAGTTTTTTTAATAATAACTATTTAAAAAAAAGAATATTTAGAGCCAATGAGGAATATTTAGAGCACCGACAGATACTTTATATTACTAGAAATATAGATCGAGTCAATCCCTTAACAGTTCAAGTGAAAATATGAAAAATATTAGCAAAAAGGAAGTCAGATTTAAGCCTTGAAGAGGATTTTTTTTAACCTCCTATTTGAATAAAATCTATAAAAAATCGTTTAGTCTAAGGACAATTTAATTAGTAGATCAACTCAGTATGCAGTAATGCTTGGAATCCAAGCACACGGTTATTTAATAATTATCCCACCATTAAACTTTCAAATTGAACTAAGAGAAAGATTTATATAATTTTTTTTTTGTGAATATTGTAAAATTATTTATTAAAAATGATTCAATAAAAATTAAAATTGAAAAACAAAATATATAAATTAATAGAATTTAATGAAAAGATTAATAATATGTAAAAAATTATTAAAAATATCATTTATAATTCAAATTTGATTAATATTTATTTAATAATAATAATTTTTTCTATTTAAAAAATATATTAAATTTTTAGGAAATGATATTTAAAAAAATAATATTTCATAAATTTTAAATTAAAATATAAATATAAATATGTGCAATCATTACTTTATTGTCAAACTGAATTTTTTTTAAACAAAATATTTATCTTAAATAAATATTGGGTTTGAATTTTATATTAAAAAAACTTATTTAAATGGGCATGTACGGGTAATGTTGTCGCGTATGGTACATTTCAAAATAACTACCAGCTATAGCAGCTTTCATGTGTGCGATTGTAACTTGAAAGGGAACAACATAAGAGGAGATAAAGTCATAAAAATCGAAAGCACAATGCTGAAAGTGTATGACAGTTTGATTATGGGATTATTCATAAAAAAGAAACATATCATCCCAAATGATTTGTGAATAGTTTAATAATGAGAAAAAAGATGAAACAAGTTAGATTGGAGCAGACAAAAAAAATATATAAAGAAAAATTTAGCGGACTTACCTCAATAAAGACAGTTTTCAACAGCCTCCCAGAGACAGCAGTGATGTTTACTGTAATAATTTTGAGCTTCAAGGATTCAAAAACTTCACATAGTTTCACCATCGTGTCTGTCTTTTTACTACATGTTATGCTGACCACCACTGTCTTCTCTCCCATATGTGTCACTTTCAGCTAAAAAAAAAAAATAGGAGAGAAAGATAAAGTTACTTCAACTGGAGAAGAGAAAATTTGAAGACAATTACTACTAGATATGAATGAGACAGAGGGAATAGGTTTTAGTACTTCAAGAACTTCAATAGGGGAAGTTCTTGATCCACCATAATCAAAAATGTTCTCCAGTCTGGTCTTCTTGGATCTTAACAACAAGGGTAGCTCTTGCTCATACTCGTATCCTGGATTTTTCTTCAGTTTTCCAGACTCCAGTTCCATGATCTCAGCCTGAATTCTCTTTTCCTGGTCATGCAGTTCCTGGATGTAGTCAATGGCATCCTTGACAATCGAAGCCTTGTCCATCTGAAAATCAAATTTTCAACAAGATCAAACCAAAATTTATCAACCCAAAAAGAATCCCGTTTCTTTAAAGGAAAAGAGAGAGAGAGAGATCATTGGTTTTTTTTTTTTTTTTGTTAATTTATATATTCACCTTGCTGATATTTGGCACAACTGCTCTGAGAGCAAAGAGGCGTTCGTTAAGCTTCTTCCTTCTGTTTCTCTCGGAAACGATGTTCTTAGAGGCTGCAGAGGATGCTGCTCCATCGGGAGAACTCGAATCGTAGTACCCAGAGAACTCATCAATTGCCCAACTGCTTCAATTCAAACAAATTCCCCCTTTTTCTTATTTTTTAGTGAAATAATTCAATTCTTTGCAGTTTATTAAAATGGACAAAACGAAAACAAAATTAATTTTGTTGGAAAGGTATAATAAGGTGGTACCTATATTCTTCGTTTTCAAGGAAATATTTTGTCTCCCAATAATTTTTGTACTCATCACCAATATTCTCCATGGCAAGCATAGGTTCGATTTGTTGTTGTTGAGAAAAATTAAGAGAGAAACAAAAGGGGCAGAGGAGATTGGAATAAATGAAAGAGGGAAGCAAGGTAGGAATGAAAGATTCGTTTTCACTCCAGCTTGGACAAGTGAGAATTTATGTAGGGGAGAGATTGGGGAAAAGCCAAACAAGGAAAAAGAGGGTAAAACTCTAAAATGTTTTTGCGAGTAGAAAATAAATGGGCGTTTGGTTGCCTTCGTAGAAGGATCAGAGCCGTCAACCAGATGCGGCCTAGGACGACGAGTATTAAAACACCCCCACTCTCTCTTATGCCGCTTGTATTCCACGCTCCAAATAATTGAATCATTTTTCTTCCGTCTTCGCTTGCCTTGGACAATTATTTTGTTCCATGTAATTTTGTCAAACATCTCTTTTACTCATCTATTCACAATTTCGCAATGTGATGAACTTGACGACGAAAAAAAGCAATAGCGACATGAGTAAGATTATAATAGAAAATGATGATATCAGTTATTAATATATTGATATTTAGGTCAGTTATTAATTTATTGGTTAATAATATTTTATAAATTTATATTTTTTACAATTTGTATAATAGTTTCACAATAATTTTATTCAAATATTTTATAGCTGTAATTGATTTTTACGAATAAAAAGATAATTTCTCATTTAAATCCCTTTTCTATTTTTTTCTTGGTCTTTTCAATTCTTCTTTATTTTTTTTTTTAGTCTTTTCAATTTTTCTTTATTCTCTTCTTAATTTCTAAAACCTAACCAAGTCACAACTGAGTCATGACAAATTGGTATCAGAGCCTGTTGCAATCTTATATCAACATTGGGAAAGAGTAAGAAAAACTCTTTATGGTTGAAAGTACTCAATTGAATAGTTTACATGAACAGGTTCAAAATATTTTGATGCAGTTGAAGGACATGAAGGCAACACAGACCTTCATGTCAAAACTATAGGAAGATAAAAAAAAAAAAGTGTTGGAAATCAAGATGGTTGAGAATCACAATAGTTTGACCAAGATGCTGAAATCCTTACTGCAAAAAAAAAAAAATCTCCAACCCAACCAGTGCTAAGAGGAAAAAAGCATGTTGGTAGTTCTTATTTGGTTCCATTGGTGCAAACTAAAAAGGAGGTTAAGAATCCTATTGAGATAACTGTTATTGATGAATATAATAAGTTTAGCTATAGGCCTGATGATCCAGGGTTACTACCAAAACTTCAACAGGACAATAACTTTAATAATATACATAAAAGCATGATGACAGACAAATATATTGAAGCTTCATTTAGGACCAACTACCCTTTAGGCTTAAATGCTTTTACCTCTCGGCCAAAAATTGAACTTTCATTATTCAAAAATGAGAATCCTAAAAGATGGTTAAGAAAATGTCAGAGGTATTTTACTATTTTTGGAGTGTCAGATCATAAAAAAATAGAGATAGTTGCTATGTATTTAGATGGAGAAGTAGAAATCTAGTTTGATAGATACTTAATGGAAAAATCAAGATTTATATGGCAAAAATTTTTTAATGATCTGTACTAAAGATTTTGTGACAAAACCTATTCAGATGTGATTGAAGAATTCAACAAGTTGACTCAAAAGAGTATAGTAGAAGAATATCAAGAGAAATTTGAATAGCTCAGGCCATTCATGCTTCAGAATAACCCCAATTTGGAGGACTTATATTTTGTATCTAGTTTTATGAGTGGAATAAAGGAAGATCTCAAACCAAAAGTCAAGGCTAGTGAGCCTCAAACTTTGGTAACAACCTATAAGCAAGCTAAGTTGCACCAACTAGCTTTGGAAGTTGAATACAAAAAAAAATAGACCACCTACTAAACCAATTTCACCAATAACACCTATACTCCTTTCAAGAACCCTTATAACCCTGGTTCTAACGATAAAAGGTCAACCCTAATACAACATCAACTATATAAAAGCAAACTCTTCTGGAGCAAAGAAGATTACAGAACCTGTGCTTTAAATATGGTGAAAAATTCTTTTCTGGCCATATTTGCAAGAACAAATAGTTAAACTCCATCATGGTGGAGAAATTTTTAAAAGAAAAGAAGCATAATGAAGAACCAGTTGACAATAGGTCAAATATCCAAGCAAAAATGGCAAATGTGAAAGAATTATTGAAAGATAGAGAACAAATCAGTACGTTGATGGTTGATTAGTTGAATAAAGCTCAATAGAGGATGAAATTGTATGCTATAGGAAAAGAAGCGAAAGAGAGTTTCAGCTGAAAAATGAAGTGTATTTAAAACTCTAGCCCTACAAACAAACCTTTTTGACACTTCGTAAGAGTTTAAAAATTTCATCTAAATATTATGGTCCTTATCCTATATTAGCCAAAATTGGCTCAGTTGCTTATAAATTGCAGTTACCTCCTACTTCGAAGATTCATCCAGTGTTTCATGTCAGTTTGTTAAAAAAGAAGTTAGGAAACAAGGTAGTTCCCAACCTAACTTCACCAGAAACTAATGAGGATGGACAATCGATTGTATATCTAGCTGTGATTGATAAACGAATGGTTAAGAGGCATAATGAGGCTATCACCTAACTTCTGGTGGTATGGTCGAATTTAAGGCCTGATAACACAACTTGGGAAACTATACAATATTGAAGTCACAGTTTCCAGATTTTGATTTTTAGGGACAAAGATGTGGTGGAGGGGAGGGCATTAGTTATGGAAATAGCAATAACAGCATAAGCAAGACTATGGCAGAAGATGATGATGTCAGTTATTAATCTATTGGCTAGTAATACTTTGTAAATTTTTATTTTTTATAGTTTGCATGACAATTCCACAATAGCTTTATTTAAATAATTTATGGTTGTAATTGATTTTCATGAATAGAAAGATAATTTCTCTTCTGAATCCCTTTCTATTCTTTTCTTAGTCTCTTCAATTTTTCTATGTTCTCTCTTTAGTCTTTTCAATTCTCCTTTATTCTCTTCTTAATCTCTAAACCCTAAATAAGTCACAACTGAGTTGCAACACGTAATTCAAAAATTAAAAAATAAAAATAAAAACCTTTGAATTACCATTCTTGTAATTGAACATTGCATATCTTGATGAAAAAAGAAAAACTGTTGTAATGTTTTTTATATACGAGGAAAGAATGAAAAATTAAAAAAGAAACATTTGATTTACTAGGGTTAACTAAGAGATTTAATTATTTTTTTCTTTACAGAAAATGAGACAAATGGTGACCATTTAAAAGTTTTTGTTGAGAATTAATTATGCAAGATTAAAACATATGCAATAAAATTTTAAAATTTTATTTTAGAAGAAATTGGGTAACAGAAATCATTGTCATTAAGGCTTTTGCAACTACTAAAGCTTTAGAGATTACGTCACAAATGGGTTTCAAAAGAATCATTATGGAAGGGGACTCTAGAATAGTTGTTAAATGCTTGCAACATGAGGAAGGGGGACTGTCCATCATTGCTCCACTTTTATATGACAACAATGTGAGTATAGGGAAGTTTGACATTTGCCAAATACAACACACGAAGAAGGAAGGAAATATTGCAGCTCACACATTAGCCCAATATGCCTTATTGATAAAGACTTACTGGTATTGGATAAATGAAGTACCAAGTTTTATAAACTTAGTTGTAATGTTGGACAACACTAATTTGAAGGAATGAAAAGGGACCTTTAACTTAAAAAAAAAAGAGTCAATAAGGTTTGAATAATTTATTTATGCATAGTTTTTTAACAAAATACATTCATTTTAAGAGTATGTATTAATGTCAATCATTGTTACTTTTGAATCATTAAGCTATTAACTCTTTGAATGAACTTTGAACATAGTCAAAACTTTATTCAACTTAGCCAAAGATAAAGTTAATCCTTATCAAGAATAATGAGATATTCACCCGATTAGTCAAAGTAACAAATCTTATCTTGATCATTCTTTTAACTCCATCTTATTCATGCTATACCTAATATCCATCTTATTGACTGTTGGCTATGATAGTGTGAGAGTAATATCAAAGTATAACATTTGTTTTACAAGTTAGATAATTACTTGATGTCAAAGAACCACTTTTGCAACTATTAAATGAGAACATTATCATAAACACTTTAAGTGATTTTCATATCTAGTCATGTTTAGTGTACTTATTTTTGTAAGAAACACCTATTTATCATACTTCAATTTGTCATATCAACTTCTTACTTCATAATTGAGAGTATAAATATGTATCGATCTTAATAGCTTATATCAACATTCAATTCTTGATCAAGTATTGACTAAGAATAATTTTAGAAATAATATTTTGATACATTAAATAATCTCATTATTACAATAATTTTGATTACAAAGCGTATTTATTTCATCTATATATATATATATATATAATGGGCATAACCTATGTAAAATGGGAAAAAAGCCTTAATTTGAAACTAAGATCTCTATGTTCTCTTAAAAATTTCTTAGCCACTAAGTCAAGTAGTTGAGGAGTCTTGTATTTTATCTTTAAAAGCAAGTGCTAATTAATATGAATAAACCTAAAGATTAAAAAAATAAGCCTTAATATATAAATATAATGAGTGATATATAAAATTAATTTTTTGTAATCCGATTGACCAAATAACATATGGTAATGTTTTGACTTATGATATTAGAAATAAAATTATTTGGCATATATGATCTTAGTTTACACAATGAAAGATACTCTTTTTCATCACATTAAACTCCACCCGTTTCCCCTCGCCCAACCATCCCATGATTAAAACCCAAGATCCCTATATTATAATCTCAAAGTAATTTTAATTAATGAGTAAGATATCTTCTTATATTATTATTATTATTATTATTATTATTATTATTATTATTATTAGTAATCTATATTACCATAAAAACTCTAATTGAATTTGGTATCAGAATAATTACAAAAAAAATAACAAATAAAAATTTAAATAAAAGATTATGTATTATTAAGGATATGTTAATATTTTTACCTTTCCTTCAAAATAAGATTTGGAATTTCATATTTAAAAATTTTTCTTTTTTCCTAAATTTCGCTTTTTTCTCATTATGTTTTCAAATAACCATATCGATTTATTTTGGATTGTGGTCCCAGGCAAGGCTTGATGGTTTAATATTAATACTTTATCCAAATCATCCGTGACGAGCGTGATAGTTATATATTTAATTCTCGTGTCACGCACGGCTAATTATTGTTGTTTGGTCATACATTTGTGATGTATATAT